AGGGGAGTGGAGGGGGAAGGGTCCAGGATGGTGTGGTCATCTTGGGCCCCATATAGAGGAGCTGGAGGTGGACACAGGGTACAGAGTAACAGGGCAAACCATTGTTTCCTCTGAGTGCGCTGGAAATTTTGGCCCTGTATCCCACTCCAAAGTAGTCCAAAGGGCGAGAAGGGAAGGAACACGAGATGATGGGAGTTACAAATTGTACAGGCTCCTATGTGCAACATGACGGGCTTTGCTCTCGTGATCTGTCTCCTTGGTTTGAAGGGTTAAAAGCAGTCTAGTGTTGGGAGGTGGAGTTGGAGTTGGATTTTTGCTGCTTTTTCCCTTTGTCTTTAAGGGTCTCAAGAATTGCATGAAAGGCAGGTAGCAAGCAAGGTGCTGGAGGGTCTCTCCTAGTCATTAAATCATACAGCCTGATTCCCACTGAGTCCCAAAATTCCACTGAAAAGATATCACAGTCTGAGCAGTTTCCCACGGTGCCACGCAGAGCAGCGATAGCTAGATCTGTGGCAGCCGAGAAATTGCACAAAACCCATTTTATCAGGATTTTCAGCTCGCACTTTCCAACCTTCTTCCCACGGTCTGCTTAAAGTAACTTGTACTGTCCATATACATCCCTCTCTAATGTGGAAGGCCTTAAGCCCATCCTGCAAAGCAGCAAAACTTGGATGGGGTGGGATATGCCTCCCTGTTGGGGTAGGAGTGATGGGAAAAGCTCTTCCTCTCTCCACTCACTCTCATTCCTAGTAGGCATCCTCCAAGACGGCTGGTCATCCTCTGATGTCTCTCTGTCACCAAAAAGTGTCAGGTCTGACGAAATAATCCACAGCAGAGAGAAAAGTCCTACTGGTTTGGCCAAGACCCAGCCAAACCCATCCCTAGAGATCTCCCAATGTGGGAGTCCCTGTTCAGGCATCAATTGTCACAGTCAGCTTGCTGCAACTCTGAGTCCAGTCTGGCTGGGTGAGCATGGCAAAATAGAGGGATGGGAATGATGGAGTTGCCTGAAATACTTCAATGATGGTAAAACAACTGCAGAAACCACATGTTCTGGTGGCAAGCTCCAAAGACCAAGGGGCATGGTGAACTTAACAATATATAGAGGTACCTGAGGGCAGGGGTCCAATCACAAATGCAAACCAGGGACATGACCTTATATGTGATAGGTCCTGAACCAACTGAGAGCCACAACCAGAAATACGGTTTATTATGGAATGACCCCAGTAGCATCCTAATTGCCATCCTTTCAATATCCTGCCTCTCAGGTTTATGCCTTCTGTACAAGTCACCTGAGCTCAGCCACTATCGATCCCAGCTGGTTCAGTTCCCCTAGTGACATTCAATATGCTTCTGGGCAGGGAGAAGGAGCTCCAATATTATGCACAATACAAAAACTTTAAATAGAAGCACTACTGTTGTAGCTGTGCAGCTACTTGGTGCTTGGTCTCCTTGAAGGTAATTGCACTAGAGCAAGAGGACAGAACAATTAATTAGTGGAGCCAACAAGCAGAGGATAGCAGAACAAGAGCTGTGGGGTGAGATTTTGTTGGGGGAGGAGGCAGAGTTCTCTAAAGGAGGCTCTAATTATTGTGGCAAAAGAAATACTGTTTAAGAATTTCTGTGACAACACAAATGAGTGGGTGTAAAACTCATCTCTACATGATATAGACAGTACTTGAATATGGATCTAAAAAGACCCCTACTTTATGCATGAGACATTGCTCAATAAAATGTCAAAGGACTGGAGAGAGCTGGAGGTGATGGTCAGATTTTAGAAAGAAATTTGCAGCAGTAACAGAGTCTTATTGATGAATATCTTGCCTCAAGGATTCAAACAGACATTTATAAGAAAATATTAATAAAGAAGTTTACACATATGGTATTTAGGCAGAAACATGTAATTTAACTGTCTGTATTTTCTATCACATGTAACTTTAATAGTGTAAAAAGCCATTAGTATTTTCTTTTGAGTAACTTAGATTATTATTTCTATGACAGCCAAACCAGCAAAGTCATTGGCTATTTCTGCTTTGCCAAAAAAGTTTTTTACATCTGCTTATAGAGTATTAGATTTTTTTGCTTTGCTTATAGATTTTGCTTTAAAGAGAAAACAATAATACTTTACCTTAGATATCGCTCAGAGCTAACTGCTCTTAAAATGCTTAACTTTTCTGTTATACAGTAATGCTTCCCAAACTTTATTGTGTATATCATAACTACTTTTTGGAAGAGCATATACTCACTTCAAAAGACTTTAGAGTAGCAAGTAATCAGGACACAAGCTCCAGAAAAAAATATTTATATCTGGAAATATGAGTTGCTCCTTTGTCCAATGTTCACAAGTTTAAATACCAGGGATGTAAGGAACAGAGAATAATTAGTTAATGATTACACAAAGAAATCAGAACCAGAATTGTCCAAAGAAAAGTTTTACATTACAACATTATGTGTTCAAGGCAGGAGAACAATTTTTAAAAGCTTCTAAGCCAGCTAGCAATGCTTCTGTTGTTGAATAATGGTTTAGATGAAATAATTAATAAATTCAAGTAGAAAATGGCCCTGTATTGATGAAAGGAGTGTGTTGGAGGATGTAGTTGACATTAGAACCTCTTTATGAACAAATGAAGTACCCTTTAGAGTATGCATGTAGTATATTTTTCACATATTTATCATCAGTACAAGATTTCTATTGCTTTTAAAAACTAAGCATTTATTTTACATTAGCATTTATAATTTTATTACAATAAAGGTTACCTACAATATTTAAGGAAACCAAAGATGCAGACAACATTTAATCACTAAGAATACATTGTTCCAGTGTCATTACAGGGAACAATAATTTAAAATAGGAAACAAATGACAAACTAATGATAACCCTGGACCATTATTCACTTTATATTATAATATAGTATTTCCTCACCATGAATACTTTGTTCTACAGGATAAATTTGACAATGCATTCAGACCGGGACTCCCTGTCAAATCAGCTTTTTAAGGTCCAATAACACAAAGCTGATTTGTGCTTATGGACTCATCATAAGTCTTTAATATTTTAATTTGTGGCCACCTCATCTCATTTAATAAAAACTGTCTTGTAGAATGAATGATAAAAATGTTTAGCTATTGAAAATATTTCTAGTATACTTTAAATTATTTTCTTAAAATTTGGGGTTAAAACATGTTTTCTTCAGCTGTATCCACCAATCAGGTTTAAATTTTCTTTAAATATACTTGGAGTTTCCCCATAAGGCTACTTCTGAACTTCACTTAAATAATAATAATAATAATAATAATAATAATAATAATAATAATAATAATAATAATAATAAATACCCCAAACCCAACCAAAATAGGATATTTTCTAAGGATTAGCATATCAAATGCAAGTAGTTAGTATGCAGATTTAACAAAAACAAATGAACAAAATCCAAACCCAAAAGAAATAACATGGCAACTTCAAATAAATGTTAACTGTGAAAAGGTTAAAGCCTTTCTGTCATACTATAGTAAAATGATTTAGCTCTTTTGACCATATCCAAGCAGTTAATAATTATTTTTCCTTGTTTTCCTGTATATTTGAAAAATATACATTTATAATTACTTAATATTTTGGGTTTAGTATTCACATATTTTCAATTTCCATTTGATGTGGTTGGAGTGACAGGTTTAGCCTTGCTAATAGACCTACTTTGGCTGACCATAACACAGCATCTTCCATGTGGAAATTGTTCAGAATATGTAGGAGATGTTACTTGCTCTGTCCTTACTGCAGTTCAGATTGCCAAAGAATCATTTATTTACATAGCTCTTATTTAACAGGTTTAGGACAACCAAAGGTACAATAAAAGGGACTGACACTGTCCCATTTAATGTCCCATTATCGAATGTGAAAATTTATGTAGGATTAGGTAATTATGCTATTTCACCTACATCTTGGGGCTTGGAAACAATAATTGCAATGTATTTAAAGCATTTTCTGTTTAAGAGAGTAGCAAATATTTGCTACAAATACTCTCCAGAAGTTCTGTCACACATGTAATCACTACTCTCCTGGCTCTGCTTTATGAAGACGGCTTTCAGCAAGTGAGCTGCAATCCTGATAGTGATGGACTGATCTCCCATTTGAATATTTTTACCACTGCACAATGCTGGCTCTTGTTTTTTTATGTTCTCTTTTTATGTTCATTTTTAAATATTTACTTGCAAGTAGCAGGTAAAGAAACTACTACTAAAGAAATATCATTTGAGTCAGTTTGAGTCTTGCATGTACAATAAGCAATAAAACCTTGGGTCAAATCCATTACTCTGCAGCAGATAATTAACCTAAGCCTGTGAGGGAACTTTATCAGCTAAATCAAAGGGCTTGTGAGTTTGGAACAAGCTGTGCAAGGGAAATGTTTCCTGATGGACAAAGCACAGCTTCTCACAGCTTTTCCTTATTTCCAGTGGCTAAACTCCATTGAGCACATTTTTTAATGCATCACTGCCCACTATTAGACACACATACACTGTGTAAAGCAATGTAAGTATATACTCTATCTAAATATTTTATTTAACATTTGTAGACATAACTATAGCATTCTATGCACTCAGTGTAGAGCCTCACATAAATGCAACCACAATATTGGAGTTAATGTTGTAGGTAATTCTTTGAATTTGAGTAACGAATAGTAGCTGGGGAGAGGTGGAAGGTAAAAGTTCTTTAATATTATGTCTGCATTAAATTGCAGCCTGCAGTATGAACTGATAAATAAATAGGGATCTCAGGATGAGTTCAGGTTTTCACAGTGTGCCTTCAGCATCTGATTTTCTACCAGCTGTTTGGTAAAGTGATTATGTATTTTTCCAAGCTGCAAAGCAGTTGGTCTTTCCAGCTACACACAACAGGGTTTTGTCTTTATTGGAAATCTTGGCAAATTGGTTAATTAAGTCAGTACTAAAGCAAAAATCTGTGGAATCAAATTGTGACAAGGTATCACCTTGGTTGTGTCTTTCAGAAAACACACCTGAAAAATGTTTGTCTGCAGTATCCGCTGTATCGGCTTCTGAACAGCCATTGTTTTTGCCTTTTAAAGAGTGGGATGGGACTAATCATCTTCTTCCTGTGGTAACTACAAAGTCAATGCCAATCAGACAGTAACTACAAATTATTTATTTTTACTATCACAGCTGTTGCTTGTCTCCAGTCCCTTCAGAGAGTGGATTTGGAATTTTATTTTTACACTTTAAAGGAATTTTAGGTATTTTACATTAGGTAATCGAACCTTTCTCTTGCATTATGTTCTATAAATCTGGCCTTTTAAACAACCCACATTGTTTATACAGTGTGTGACATGAGATACAGATTTTATGTGATTTTATGATTTGTCAAATATGCTTGCTTGACCCAAACATTTAACATATCTATTTACATGTCAACAACGTATCTGTAGTATCTTATAATGCTGAGTCTTTTTTTCAGCATAAAGGTTGTAGATACCTCCTGTTTAGCCTAATGGTCACTCTGTTTCTTCTGTTCTAGTGCTTATGTACCAAAGACGGAAGCAGGTCATTGCAAGTGGGCAGAAGTTCTCAAAGATTTGGAAAGGATCAAGACATCCAAAGTAAGTTCATAAAACAGTCAGCATTTCATATAATCATAGAAGAAGACTTAATAAAACATTTAGCACTGCACTCAGGTAAGAAGTGTGAGTGGGAGGGAAAGGGATGGTGTTTGTTAGCTAATGTTTTTAATTCCAACTCTTGTTTTTTTGTAGGATATTGATGTCAGTTTATACACTGCAAACGCAGATGAGGATGTAAGTAAACTTCACATATAACTACAACTAATGTTTGGCTTCATTTTCTTACTAGGAATTATCTCCTAAAGCAGACTTGTTCTAATTTCATAAACATGTCTAAAATAAAATAATTTGCCTTGGAATAAACAGTTCTTCTAATCAAAGCACTTATGATAAATTATGCAAGCAGGTAATATTTTTATTTAGTCATCTGCTACTAAAATTAATCAATTGAAAGGGATGGTCAAGGCCACACTGGATGGGCTTTGAGCAACCTGGCCTACAGAAAGGTGTCCCTGCGCATAGCAGAGAGGTTGGAAGTACAGGATCTTTACAGCCCCTTCCAACTCAAACCATTCTGTGTTTGTGTGATTCAAAATTATTTTATCAAAGCAAACAATGCTAAAATAATGCTGGGATTAATTTGTAATTTAAGGGAACATTACCTACTTCCTCTACTCCCTTATCCATTCCGAATTCAGATTTCCGAGTTAAAGTGTTTAAACTACTAAAAATAATGTTAATTTAATTCCACTATGTTTAGTTATGTGCCAGGTTCCTATCCTAATTATTTTCCTATGTTCTTCACTAAGACACTATGTCTCACCTCATCTTAGTAAACTGCTTGGCCTTTTTCTTTTTGGGTCTCATAGCCCATCTCTGCCGATATTCAAATAGCATGAAAATAGTAATGAACGTAAGAATGAAAATATGAAATGAATGTATGAAAATAGAATGAATAGTAAGAAAAGATGCCTAGTAAGTAAAAATCAGCCTCTTTGTGGCTGATTTTATCTTAGATTACATCTCACTTATATCATACTTGTGTTTTAAATTATATCACAAATTATGTCCTACATTTACTTATTCCTTTTTAATCATAAAACTATTGCAACTGCTTGTTTTTTTTTTTCAGGAAGAATGCCAAGAACTTGTAATGAGGTGCTTTTTCTTAGAGACAGAAGTGATAATTCAAGAATGTCGTATAAAAAACTGTAGTAAAACACAGGATGTGTGGAACATATGGAAAAATGGAAATGAAACCTTTGAAAAAAATAAGGTAAGCAACACCAATAGTCCACAGAAAAAGCACAAATCAAAAATGTTTCTTTGGTAGCAGAAATACCTCTTTTGTTACATAAACAGTGGGATGTTAGAGATGAAAACTAATGAGATTCCAATAACCTGTGCACATAATAAAAAATCAGAGATCAGTAGTTTTTAGAAAAACACTTTCAGGATTCCCATCAAAGCAAATACTTTTGTGCATATTTACATATGTCAGGGTGTTTGAATGTGTGTGTATGACAGTTTGCAGCTTCAGTACCTGCAGTCAGATATGTGAGACACACAGGGAAAAGTATCTTTATTTTCAGAGGGACAGTCATTTGCATCTTTCACTGAACTGATGTACCTCTCAAAGATGATCCTATTCAAAAAGTAAGCCAGGAACTGCACAGACCATAACTACCATGTAAGCCTCCACTAGAATTTTCTGTAGTCTTTTCCTGCATTGGAATTATTCACAAAAATAGGGCAAAAAAATTAATTCACTATCAGAACCAATGGATTGGTATACTGCTTTACTATTGCATTTTGTTTTTCAGTTGACTTCCACAAAATCAGAAAAATGCAAAGAGTGTGAAGAATATGAAGAAAAAAATTTTACAGAATTTGTACAGAATTTTGTGAAGGTTATACAGAGGGATTGCAAACACTGACCAAAAGTCACAAGCTGGGAAACAAGACTCTTACATGAACACCCTCAGAGAAATTAGATTATCACCAAAAATAAACCAGAAAAAGAAAATAATTTACAATCCTCTTGGCTATCTCTTAATACATCTGTTTCTATTGTGATTTTCAGGCAAACTCAATTACTTCTTCTACCCAAGAACTCAAAGGCAAAAATTAGAATATTTATGTAAAAACTCTTCCTTGCCTTTTCCCCCTTTAATACAATTCTATCTCTAGTCTTCTTTCAGAAGGTAAAACTGGTGTTTGTTTCTACTATCCAACAACAACATGTTCTGTTCCTTCATTTGTTACCTCTAATATGACTTTATTCATTAATGTAAAGACTAAAACTCCTTTATCAGTTACCAAAGGTTTCAATTGAGATGTCAACCAAAGCAGTGTTAATTTAATTCTCTGAATAAAGGAGGTGACTAATTCTCTTACACACTTAAAAAAAATAAAAAAATTCTGTGTGGTAGAAATCTCGTCTGTGAAGTAGGGTTTATAACTTTAGTATCCTCTTGGGAAAGAACTTTGAAGACATGAATCACTTTTGACCAATTATTGGAAATAATAATAATATAAGACTCAATGCAGTCACCTGCCCTCTGGTATTTCTGCAATGTTTCACAGTCTCCTTTGGGCTCTTCCTAAACTAACTGGTTTCCTCATGATTCATAGCCATGTCATAACAGCTGCCATCCATAATAAGTAGTTCTTTTCTCCAGGCACCTCCATTTCTCTATCCTCAGCTGATAAACGGCTGAGTCATTCAGCTGTCCACTTACCGGGAAAGAAGTTTCAATCTCATTATGGCAACAAACACACTGACTCCTTCTCTTTTACTGTTGGGATGCTCCCAACAGTCAATCTTTAGCACTCTGAGGAGATAAATCTCCAGTAAACTGCAAGAGGCAGAACATAAATGTGAGCATGTGGGATGTAATCTTCCAGGAGACTTGAAGACAAACAGATTGGTAAATTCATAAGCACGTTGATATCAGCATTAATCACTGGTAGACATATCACAAAAGAAGTAAATTATTTGCCACCACAAAACCTCAAAACCAGAAGTGTTTCTTACATAGTTTGGAGGAAATAAAATGGTCCTACATTTTATATTTTTCCTTAATTCAATGGTACACACTGAATATGATTTTTCCTAACCTGACATCATGTGCACAGGAAAGGTAACACCAAGTTACAGCTTTGGTCTGTAGTCAAAGAGATAAAGAGACTTTCCTTATTTCTAGCTTTGACAGGGAACCAATATACTCATGAACATAAGAGCTTCTTCACTCAGAGTTCTTTATCTTGACCATTTTGAAAATCAATTTCCTGATTAATTTTATTTTGGTTTTCATTAACTCATTTACCAGTGATAAATATGTTAAAGACTGTGAATTTGTCTTTCCAAAGAATATTGCTAAGTCTGTGACCACTCAGCTTGTCACCCTGTTAGCCACTTTCTGTTGGACACTGGCCATATCCCTTTTATTTCATTTTATCTCCACCTGGTCCAGGTGCATTTTCTTGGATGAAAAAAGGCCATTTGCTAATCTGGATCTCCAGCATATCTCTTAGGCCTTTCTCTTCCCTGAGAGCTAAGAAGCCATCTGAAAGCTTTACTACATCCTGAGTCCAATGGTTATAATAAATTATCTCATTGATATAAAGGACGGACTAAATTAAGATTACCTTGTTATTTGTTCGGGTTTTTGTTTTTCTCTTTCTTTTCTTTTCTTTTCTTTTCTTTTCTTTTCTTTTCTTTTTTCTTTTTTTTCTTTTTTTTTTTGTTTGTTTTGGTTTGGTTTGTTGTTTTTGTTTGTTTGTTTGTTTTTAGTTAGGAAATTCATATGTACTCCAAAGGAAAAGTTTCAATAAGACTAAAACATGGTCACATCTGATCTAACTTGTTAGTCCTGCAGGCAGAACAGTAGAAACTGATTCAGAGGGGCTACTTTTGAAGTAAACATCCCCAGGTTGAAGAAGGTATTTCTTCTACACAAGGCTGAGTTATTTGTGTGGCATTTACTGGATAATATTTTCCAACTGTTGTTGGCATATATTAAGGAAAAGATTAATACTATACTTTCTCCAATTAATCCTTCTCAGTTAGGGGAACTAAGGTAACTCATAGCAGAGTGTTTCTATGTACAGAAATAACAATAACTTTACCTTTTGATACCAGAAGAGAAGAAAAATGCTCCTCCATCGAAGACTTGCACTACGTAGTACTGTGTTCTTGACTTGGCAAAAATTTAAAATCTGCTTTTCCTTTCCATTCCTAGTACTTAATATCCACATTTCTTGTCTATATCCTAACAGGATAGTAGCAAGTACAACTGCAAGTAGAGCTAGTGCAGATGATGTCTGACATCCTCTGCCTTCTTTTATTGTTTTATTGGACCCTGAAGATAAATATAAGTTGCTCATCCATAGAATGTTGCCTCTAGTGGCTCCAAAATGTTTGAGCACCTGTTGATCAGGTACTGTTCAGATGATTTCAGACATTTTAAATTCTGAACTGCAGATACCTTTCTTGTTAGGACCTTCACTGTTTTGAGGAAAATATAGAAGAGGGAATTCTTTGCCTACAGTGAGATAGCTGGGTGATCAACAGCAATTTCAGATGATCCATCTTGTTCATATGATGTTCTGTGTGAGAAAAATAATAGTATAGAAATGTACTTTAAGATTAATTTCAACTCCATGTGGCAAAAGCTCAGAGAAAACGAATGTTTGAGTCAGCCAGCCCAATGTACAGAGGTAACACTAACGATGGAGGGAAAACAGTGTATTTGAGATATATATATATATATATATATATATATTATCCATTATAAGTTATCCATGGTATTCTCCATGGATAAAGCAGTGTTTCAACCTTCAACCAAGGACTCAGGCTCAAGATTTAATAGCCCCCAAGGCAAGTAGCTACCACAGAAACCTGATCAGTGTATCCTAGGACACATGGCCCTAGATAATCACATCACTACCCATTCCAAGTACACAAATACAGTTGTTAGTCAACTCATTTATCCAGGCAGCTTCATCACAGTTACTGTGGTTCTACTGTCCACAAACCTCAAACTAAGACCCCTATCATCCTAGTGAATCTCTTTCTCGGACTTAAATCCTTTTCTAGTTTAATGTGGGCAGGACCACAACAAAATGAAGCTCTTAATATTTAGTTGCATTTCTCATAGGAATAATATGGAACGAATGTATGGGAACAATATGATAATAAAGCAATCTAAGATTAGCCTAGCTGTAATTATCAACAACTATATCACAAGATTTGCCCTTATCATAGTTATACTGAAAGGTGATTGAACTGCCAACTCCTTCCTTGTAGTATCAGAAACACAAGGAATATGAAACTTCCACTACAGGAATGAGAACAAAGAGGAAGGAAAATAAGTGCAAGTCACTGTAATTGATAACAGTGAAAGCAAAATTATTCCAATAATTGGAAAGTTCATCAGTAAATTTCGAAGAGCACTTCCCAGAACTGCAGTTAAATCATTCATGTCTTCATCTTTATAGAAACTAAAGGCAGCTTTCTCTGGAAATTCCTATCCTCAGTGTCTGAGCCAAGGTCATGACAGGATATCTTGACAGAAGGGTTAAATGTGAGTGAATTTGCTACTCAGAACAAGTGGATTCAATCAGTGGAAGAGACACAAATTTCATTGCATCCTCAAGTCAGTATTGGTATTCTTGAGAACAGAAATAATATTCATTTTTATCCAAAATGGCCTTCACTTGCGGCTTATACATATGAAGGCAAAACTTACTAGCAATAGGAACAGAACCACATGCTGGAATTTCTGTACAGCATTAGGAGACCGATCAACATGACACTGAGCCATACTTAAAAGGGACATCCTGTAATGTCTAAAGGGTTATATCTTCTCTAGAGGCAGGAAAGAAACAAACTTTGCTCATATGAACTCTACAGAATTTTACTCTCATGCACTTTGGGAGGAAAAGAAAGCCATAAATGAGCAAGCTAAGCATTTTTTCAACAAAAAGTTCAAATCAGCACCTTGAAACTGTCTCCTTCCAACTATTTCCCCTAAAACAATGTTGGAGAATTCACCTCTTCTTATCAAAAGGCTTAATTAAGTCAATAATTAACAACTTAAATAAAGACAAAAGGAAATAAATATGTTTCATAACCTCACCCTCTTCTACGTGCTTATTAAATGTGGTATTTTCTTGACCAAGTCAAGCCAACCAGGAATCAATTGGCTTTCTTTTAATGGGGGAAAGATGAGGCAGTACAATAAAGAATAAAAAATCTGCTGAGATTACTTACTTATCTGTGCCACGACATAAGCAGCTCGCTACTTCTAAATGTTAAAAACATATAGGAGAAAAAGGAACGAAGTTAGAACACAAAATGAAATTAGGGGGTTTTCTGGGAATTTTCTTGAGAAATTCCAAAGGCTGAAAGAGCTTATTTTAACTTTAACATACAAATTAGTACCTTATACTGGTTTTTTTCCTTCTGACTCCTCAACCATACAAACTTTTACCCTTTTTTTTCTTTTCCTAGTGGGACTCAGTACTCCTCAGGGCTTTCCACTTCAGTATATACAGAACTGTTACTAATGAACTGTTAACAAGTTTAATAAAGGAAAACAAAGAATTGCAAGTGACTTCTTCTATGTCAAGATGCTTTCTTGAAATGAAATTTTAAAATACATTGACAGTGCTGCTTAAAGAACCTTCATTAGATCCCAAGACAGTATTTTGTTGTGAGGTGAAGTCATCAGCTTGTAGCTTTGTTTATTTAAAGCTTTTCAGGAGGAAGCAACTGTATTTAGCTTTTCAAGATGAAATATTGAAAGTCAGTAAGCCTTATAGAACCTTAATGGCTGCTCTACCATGCATGACAGACCTTGATAAATTGGTAAAAGAGAATTTAAGAGAAATTTAAAATATACTTATGTCATTGGAATACAATACAAACAATGATAACATTAATTGAAACAGTGTACCTGTGCCACAGATAAAACTGAGAAATCATTCTTTTTAAAAGTTGCCTTTCCCAGCTCTTCTAAGAGTCACATATATCCTGCAGTATACTGGAAATCTATAGTCTTGCAGTAATACAAGACATATTAGTAATCCCAGTTTGGGGGTCTTTTGAGCCATTAGTTTCCCAATGAGTGAAAATTTTCTCTATCAAGAAAATAAAGAAATTTATTATTTCTTATGACTGATAGAATCTACTGTTTTTCAATAGAGTACTGAGAAACCAAACCATAGTTTTGGTCAGTCTCAAGGCATTCAGATGAGTTTGTTCAGCCAGTAGTACATGGAATTCCCCAATCCTCTGAGGCAGTGATACTGAATAGCAGGTGTTAATCGTAATCCATTATGACAGCTGTGAATTTCTTCTCCTTATTAACCTTAATTGTGTCTTTTTATGTCCTGTTTTCCAATAATCTTCTTTTTCTTTTATTAGTTGAAGATAACAAATGAGAGATTATCTTTCCTTTGGTTGTTCCTTTGGCAAGCTTGCTATAACTAATTCAAAGAAAATGAGATCATTATGAATAATTCCTGCAGCTTTTTTCTGTAACAAGCTTCCTGATTTCATGCACCATTTGACATTTTAAAGTTTTAACTGAAGTCTTGAGACAACATTTCTCTCTCACACTTCCTACTGCAGGCCAGTGACCGGGCTTTATTTTACCCCAGACAAACTTCCTAGCAATAGGTATAAGTCATTTGGATAAGTTAACTTAGCCAAAATCCCTTGGCTGTACTGTAGTTTTATCACATCACATGAATCCTTTTTAGGACCTCATCCTCCAGTATTTTATACCACTAATAAATTATGAAGATCTATCTGGGACAACTTAGACAGAATTAATTAAATTTCTGAAGTTATTTGTAAGTTTTAAGATCTCCAGCTATAACAGATAAGATGCAGATGTTAAGCATTGTCTTAAAGACCTAACGGGGGTTTTTTTTTTTTGGTCAGTTTTACGTCCCCTTTTTTCCCATCAAGACCTTCTGGGATCTTCTGGAAGCACTGGTAATTCTAAATAGTCTGTGACTTATTTTAGCATTGGTGACGAAATCTCAAGCAGACAAGCTTCCATGAAGTAGGCATCAGTTGTGTCAGAGATGGGACATAAGCTTCCCCAGATATACTTGTGTAGGGTCTCAGTTATCTGGTGACTGACAGCAAGGTAAGCTATGGAAACGAAGCCTTGTCCTCCTCAAATACAAAGGAAAAGGCACCGTCACCATCAGCCAGTGGCTCTTTGGAAACAGTTCTTGAGAAGCCATCATTTCTGTCTCTGTGCAGTAGAGCTCCTGGATACCCCATTACCATCCATGTAGGGTGGTGATATCTGGGAGACTATCATGGAGCATGGTGGTTATACAGATAGTTTTTTCTAGGAAAGCTGCCTTA